AGAGCGAGAAAGCGAGAGAGCGAGAGAGAGCGAGAGAGAGCGAGAGAGCGAGAGAGCGAGAGAGAGCGAGAGAGCGAGAGAGCGAAAGCAAACAAATACACTTAAACACAAAAAACAAAGAAAAACTCTAGACTTCTTTGCGCCATAATTTAAGAAGCTAGGGTCTTTAACACCTTTGTTCAATGCCGGAAACCCTTTTCAATACCAACAGCCTATATGACACTTAAGACCCACTGAAACCATGTCAAACCTTATACGACCCGATGAAACCCATAAGAGAACCCCAAAAAGGACAGAAAAAGGCCTCTTGGAGGATGAAGGAACGGTCCTTGCGCAGGCGCTGCATCGATTCCACCACCTGGCATTGGGTTATGGGTTTGAAGTTTAGGGTTTAGGGTTTAGGGGGTTTGGGGATTGGGGTTCAGGTTTAGCTTGGGTCTAGGGTTTGTAGAAGGGATATCTCAAGTTTTCCTTGCCGGTTTTGCGAGCATTAACAGGCTCTCGTGCAGTCGCTGTTGAAAAGGGATGGTGTCGGAAACGCATGTGCCCCTGAAGTACCCCGGTCGAGGCTGTAATTGCTTCTCACCTCGCCCCAAGAACCAAACGAAGCCTGTTGAAGGTGCTGGGTTGGAATTTCCGGCCTGTTTGGATTACGTCCGAACAATAGTCGTCGATTGATGACATAGTATTGTGAAGAAGTCCGGTTTAGGTTCAGGCAGCTAACCTTGTGGCAGCTCTCATTTTCAACTGGCACCTGCTCTGAGTCTCTGAATAGCCAGTGCGCAAGCCGCCCTGCCCTGTGGCTCGAAGGCATTCGCTAGTCCTTCTCAGGGGCTTCAAGCACAAATTGAAAGCAGAGCTCCAGATCTGGCGATCCCATATCATGCAATGTTAGATACGTCTTGCAATATGATAGATAGTATTGATTGTTTCAAATTACAATGTGTGGAACGCCTGTTCAGCATTGCTCCAGCTTTGAGGCTTTCAGAAACATTGTTCCGAATTATCCAGACTGTCGGCAAGCACTGTAGTTGTATGGCTGAGAAACCCAACCATTGGCGCGGAGCCACGCCAAAGTCTTCAAAAAGGGCACTGCCAGAGCATAGACACAACCGAGACAAGGCCTCGTCGTGCCCCTTTGAGCTCGCAAGACCCCACTCTCAAACTCTGCTGCTCGGTGGCCGCCCAAGGCATGATAAAGCACAAGCCCAAAGGTCCTAAGACTTTGAGCTGTGGCCGTGGGCACTTTAGAGGTGTGATCCTTGCTGCGGCTGAAGTCGCATCTACCGACCATCAGTCTAGACACTAGAGCTCTTGCTCGACCAATACTGTGGAGAAGCAGAAACGACACTTTCTCAGGTTCCAAAAACCTGGACAAATGCAGCAACGTGCCGTGCTCCTGAAGAAAGAAGCTGAGCTTCCCCTCGGCACTAAGCACTATCGTGCAAGCTGGCTCAGGTCTCAAAACCGTACATGCCTGACTTGCTTTGATGGACTCGCTTAGTGCCATCTCACTCGGCACGGCGAAAGCTGTCCCCATGCCGTCTGCAAGGCTGCAGGGGGTGGCAAGTTGATGTCCTGGATGGATATTCGGAACATCTGTCCCAACTCTTGTCAATCCGGACGATACTTCTGATGCCTCATTTCCGCCATGTCGTGGCTGTGAAACTCATAATGAGAAGGCCCCTGCTGCAATCCTTCCGGCATTTCTGCTGGCACAAAGCTCTCGCCTCTAAGCGTGCCTCTGCCTCTCAATGGCTCGATGCAGAGTGGAGTTGATTTTCGAAAGCCCGGAACAAACTGGCCGTGGATGTTGCCGATGCTCCGCTGCTGTGCTGCGAAGCGGTTGCATGTGCGGAGCACAGCGAATCCCCGCGACTTGCCATTCGGAAACAGCGCCATCTCCATCTGAAAGCCTCTGAGGCCCTTCGAGTGGAGGAAGTTGCGCAGGATTTCCGCATCACATCTCGCAGGGATGTTACGCAAGAAGAATGCTTCTGCGGCCTCTTGGCCCTGGGCCTGTGCCCTCATCATAAGAGTGCTACAGGATCCTCAAAGGCCCGGCTGCAAGTCAACGGCTCAAGCCTTGAGCCGAACCTTTCGTGGGATTTTGCCACGGCAACTTTGGAGGGTCATTGTGGTTTCGGAATCTAGCTTCAATACTTGCAGCTTCTCACAGGCTATACCAAGAAGAGAAGATGGTTGTTGGCTTCGGGCTGCAAGGCATTGCAAATTCTTTCTAATAGGGTTTTGAAAGGCTTAGCCTTGAGGGTTTGGGTTCCAAGTGCTACCAAACAAATCGATTACTGTGCGAGCAAATTTTGGTGCAGGGACCTGTTTTCGCAGATACGTCACGGAGAAACCCTTGGACCACAAGAAGGGGCAACCCTCTGCGCCCGTGTGCTAAGGCGCTCAAGTATATATTTCATGCTGACTTACAGAACTTCATGACCAAAACTGCGTGGGGGGCGTGACGATGCCTCGTGTGAAGCCAAGAAGAAGTTTGAGGTCAAATCAGGGCTATACGGGAACGTTGTTGTAGATGTTGAGAGTCCCGGGATATCTCCAACCGGGATTCCGGTGGCAGGCCGTTGATCGGGCTCCTATAGTAGCACTCAGAGAAACGGGCGGCCATCTCTGCGTTTGCATGTGGGGCTGAGGGCTGACGGCTTAGAGCCAACCCAGCACAAACAAGACGGTTCCCTGGCCTGCACCAGTGTAGCGGCTGGGACCTTCGGAAGTCAAGAGCCCGAGTTATCATCGTACTGCTGCTTGCGATTTCGCTTGTAGAGTCATACATTCTTGTATCTAAAATGTTCCTCGTCTGACTGTTTTCATAGCCCAGCAGGACGAGGATGAGGATTAAGAGCACTGGTAGCTAGTCCTGCTGCTCTGGTTGCTGCTGTCGCGGTACTGCTGTGTTCATGATCCGTGCAGAATATATTATTATACATTATATTATATTTTCTCATATTTTATTATATTACATTACATTGTATTTGTTATATTACATTACATTACATTACATTACATTATATTAAATTATATTATATTATATTATATTATATTATATTATATTATATTATATTATATTATATTGTAAGCCCTTACAGGTTGAGAGTTTCAACTTATCAGCCATCCTCGGCCTACGGCCTGCAGAGTTTAGGGTCGAGACGGCTTAAGGCTTAAGCAAGGGACCCCAACAGCTCGAAGTGCTGAAAGCCGGCAGCCCATGCATGAAAGCAACTTGGCTTGAGCTTCAACTCAAGAGGCTAAAGCAAGTTTCCCGCCGGATGTAGCGTTAGTTCTGAACCCAAGACCATGAAGCCCGAAACCCCGAATCCTAAACCCCAAACTGAAATCCCAAACCCCAAACCCTGCAACCGTAAACCCTAGGACCCCATGACCCGAAACCCCAAACCCTGAAGCCCTAAACAGTATGATGACCCAAATAAAAGCCCAACGCCCCAGGGTAGCTTTAGGGCATTTTTTGAGAAGTTCGTCCTTGGAGCTTTGGGCACTGAACTATAGGTGTTGTGGCTATAGAGTGTTCTGGGTGCGGAGGAAAGTGAACCAAGTACCACGAAACTTTCAAAGAGGTTTCGGGGACAGACCCAAAGCCCGCCGGCCGCACCTCTCCAGTACGCTGGAGCAGACCCCATTTTCTCAAGACAGTGCGGTGGTCCCCCTGCTCGTATGCCTCTGTGGTGGCCTCCAAGAAGGCTGCGGGTCCAGTTATTTGGGTTTAAGAGGTGTGTTTGAGGGACTCTGTCTATCTATGACATGAGATCGATGTGTTCATGGGTTAACATTCGATATCAAGGTTTTGGGGCTGTGGGACCTCAACTAGCACGGAGCTTGCTTACTCTGCGGGATGCCAGTGCGAGTCTAGAGCAAAACTGACCTGCAGCAGCAACAGCATAGTCATCAGCGCTAACGGAGGGGTGACAGCATTCGTATCGGCTCGGACTATCGACATATTCACAGTGCATCCGTAGGAGGGTTGTTCACGAAGCGATACCACACCACGCTGAGTCGTACTACTAGCGACACTTGCCACCAAACAAAACAGGACGCAATACGTGAAACTCAAGACCTAATGTAGGGCCTCCATGGCTCCCAAGCTGCGCCTGCTGAGCCCTAACCCTCAACTCACAACCCTAATCAGAGATCTTCCCGGGCCCTGAACTCTGAAGCCCGAGCTCCGCCCCGTCCTCCACGAGACGGGAGTGATTCAACTTCGTCCCGTCCTCCTTGGTCTTGCCCGCCTGAAAAGGGCCCTAGGGCCCTAAGGGGGGGGGGGGGACTTCAAGCAAACCGAAGTCTAAACCCTGAACCCGAGAGCATGCCCTCAACTCTGAGGCCCAAACTTCAACACCCGAAACTCCCAAAAAAAGAGAAGAAAGGCGTTGACGATTCGTTTGGTGTCATTGACATTTTGGGATTGATAGTTCCCCGAAACCATATAATCCCCAAAGAACTGGCTGACTTGTTTTTGACTGTCTCGCAGTTGAGGGCGTAGGGGCTAAAGACTTCTGATTCTTCAATTTGGTTTGCAGCCTTGTCTCTTGTCGACTTCAGGGTTTAGGAAGTTGTGCGGGGTCTTGCGGCATCAGGCCCTAAACCAAGAAGAATGAAGAACTCCTCTCCTTGAACCTGGACATGAGGCCCCGGCCCAAGTGCGAGGCCTCCCACTCCTCAGCTCGAAGTCCTACTATGTGCAGACCCAGAAAGGCCTTACCAACCTTTGTGCCCCAGACCCGAAACAGACCCTCAACTCAAAGCCCAATGCCTCAGCCTCGAACCCTGAGACGCTGGACCTGAAACTAAAGCCTTAAAGCCGAACTTCAATCAACAAGAATCCTCAGCGTGAGCTTTCAGGCCTTTCCCTTGCCGTGCTTGCGCCAAGGCCACAGAACCTGGCACCAGTCAGAAAAAGGCGGTAAGCTTGTACAATTGTTGCTAGGGCCAACTTGTTCGACTTCACCGCGGACGATCCGGTGAGACATACGCACGCCTCTAACAAACCCCTAGGCATCTGCATCCTAAACCCCTAAACCTTAAAGCCTAATCCCCCAGCAGGGGTTTTAGACCTTTGGGTTAAGGTGCTTCGCATGTTTTGGGTCGCCAGGAATTGCGTTCCAGGTCCGTCCGGTGCGGGCTGTAAGGCTTAGGGTCTAGGCTTTCGTGTGGGTTCTAAGGTCCCCGGCTCTCAGTCCGACTTCAACTCCCCGAAAACCCAACCTCGGCTGGAAGGGTCCAACCATGAACAAGAAAGCCGCGGAAACCCGAGACAGCATACTGCAGAAACCCAGACAGGTAGCCAGGTAGCCTTAGACTGCAAAGACCTTAAACCCAAATCCCACACTGCAGATCGGATTGCCAAGGGCCGCGCGTTGCCGAACAGGAAGAATTGAAGAAGGAAGGCTCCACCGAAGAGTAGCAACTGCACGGGCTGCTGCTTTTCAATGGTTTCGGGCCTTTTTCCTGACGGATTGGCTGCTAGAACCTAGGCTTTTGAGGATTCAGAAGCCCAAGCATTCCCAGCAACATCCCCTGACTACCCCGGGAGAAACCCGGGGAAGCCTGTAGAATTGGGAAGCTCAGAGCTTGCCATTCAGCTCCAAGGTCCGAATGCTTAGAATAACGATCCTTCTCAGCCCAAACAGAAACGTGGGTCCTTCCCAGAGGTGAAACTCGTCTACGGGAATGGAAGATTTATTTCATTTCGGAATCCGGGACGGGCTGTGAACCGAGTAAGCTTTGCTTCCAGTCGGCCAAAATGCAAACTCGCCCAACTGCCAACTTCCAACGAAAGCCACTGAAGCACCAAAATCCTGCAAGTTTCCCGGCAGGCCCAGGAAAAAGCAAGTGCTGACACTACAATTGACAGCAAGAATTGGCCGGATCCAAAATTCGCGAGGCCCCGGAACCCCAAGCTTCGCTGCACGGCGACCTCAGAACTTTGCAGAGGTTCGGACGGAGAATCCAGATTTGCCGCCTTGGGTTCTCGGGCGTCGATTGTGGACTGATATTCACTTCAACTCAGTCCATAATCAACACCGGAGCACCCCAGGCAGCAACGAAAAAAACTTGGAAATCGATTCCCACCATCTGGACAGAAATCTGGTGGAAAAGGTAAGAACGGTTTCTCATATTCCGTACGGGATTCGATACCAGGGCTCCCTGAATAAACAGAGTTGCCCCACGCTTGGGCTGGCAAAGCCTAAATCCTAAACTAAACCCGAAACCATTTATGACTCTGCAACTAAGAGCCAGCCTCGCCGCTGAAGCTAACAAGCAGAGCCTGAACCTGGCCCGGCCGTCAAGGAGGGAGAGAGAACAAAAATAAAAAAATACAAACGAGCGAAAGAGACAGAAAGACAGAAAGAGAGAGAGAGAGAGAATGCTTTTTTAGTTTTACAAAAAAAACATGCATAAATGAATCAGATGGGCTTGGTTGGTGGGCTTCCCTTTTTAGACTCTTGAGATGTAAGGTTGTATGGAGTATGGACTCGGCGCAAAGACGGTAAAGACCCCATCTCGGATCTTGACTTTCGGGTCTTGAGATTTGGGCTCTGTAGTATGCAAGGGTTTGAAGTCAGGGGTTTAGCATTTTGGGCCATTCGGGCTATGAGCGTAGGGAATTTCGGGGGGCGGTCCAATTCTTGGTTCGAGGTACTTGGTTGCAAACCTCCCCTCAGAACTCTGCCATGCCAGGAGTCATAAAACAAGCTCAAGGCTTAGGTGGGCTTCGGGGCCACTGCTTGAAGTTGGGCTGTAGTGCATCATTCGTTGAGGCTTCGGGCATTGAGGCTCTTGGCTTGAAGTCTTCCAGTCTGTGTCTTGGGTTTCTGGCTCAGAGTTTGTGGGTTTAGGATTTAGGGTTTTGGGTTAAGATTAGCAAACCTCGGCGCTTGGACTTTAAGGCAACATCCGGGCTTGTGCTCTCACCCCACTGCCATAGATCATGCATTTCCGAACCCTAAAATCCACGCCAAAAGCGCCAACTCGGAAACTTCAAAGCCAAAACCTTGAACCCAAGACTTCAACCCCAAACCCTACCCATGCGGATCAACAGGCCGCACCTGGTCCATCAGGTCCGCCATTGTTGAGTCTGCCGGTCGAACTTTCCTTACTCTTTCTTCTGTCGAATACACACTTTGCAAGGTTCGTGCAAGGCCTGGGGCACAGGACACTCTGCGGCTCTTGGGGGTTCGGAGATAACAGAGGAGTGCAGTCTGAAGCCGAAAACTTTGCAAGGAAAGCCAAATCAGTTCCTGCCGAGCGTCTACGAATACCTGCCCGTGGGCAGTGCATGCACGGGCTCGGGAATACACATGGGGGTACGATTGCTTTCTCACGACAACAAGCTCGGTCCCAAGGTTCTCAAATCTCTCAAGCTTGCGCACATCCCGAAGCTCACGCTTCGGGCCGAACAGCCCTTTTTTGTAAGAGCCTTTCTAGGAATCCTGGACGCCGTCACATCATCCGAGGCAGGCCCTGTTTTTCAGAGGCCTCTAAACCGCGGGCCAGGCTGGCGTCAGTTCGAAGGCTCAAAGGCTTAGTCTAGGGTTTGGGGTTTGGGGTCTTCAAACCCAACAGTTCAGAACTGAGTAGTTCGTCGATACGCGCGACCCGAACGAACATGGAAAGTGTAAACCCCAACAGGAACGTCATCTCCGGAAGCCTCGACCCCCACTCCGATACTCGAAATCCTTTAACTGTAGACCTGCAACCCAAACCATCGCTCACCTCAAAACCCCCTGTGTGAAACTCGAAAAGCACTCAACCTGCAACACGAAAACCCCAAGCCCGAAAACCAAGAGCAAAGTGAACCCAAATGACTCGCAAACAGCAGGAATCCGAAGCCAAACTGTACCCCAAAAACCCAATTCAAAGATTGAAGGCCCCATTACCCATTATTTCTCTAGACTATAATATGTATACCTGCTTTGTCGGCTTTACTGCACAGGGCCTGGAGCTGGTGCTCCAGCACGTTTTTGGGGGAAGATGGTCGGCCGACCACCGGCAAGCCAGAGCAGTGCAAAGGTCGTATACCTTCCAGGCCCAGGCGGAAGAAAAAATCTAGACCCAAGTATCCCTAACCCAAGTACCTACAACTCGGGTCAAGAGCCTGTTTGCAAAGACATCTCTCGACAGAACTCAAGAGTTTATCAGGTTGATGGATGCTTGGGTTAACTGACGATGGCCCATGGCGTCCAGAAAGCTAACGTCGTCCAGCAGCTGTTCGGGTCGCAGTTCAGGGCACTGGAAGCAGGAATATTGAAAAGGGCAAACTAGGGATAATTTTATTTAATATAGGGTTCAGGAGGCAAAGGCTTTAGGGATGGACCCTTCGTTCCACAACAGTCCGAAAAATGCCGAGGCACACCGCAGCAACTGACCTTGGCTTGTGCCGAAAGTCATCGCCCTGATCCCCAACAGATTTCACTCTGATTTTAAAGAGCTGCCCCTACAAGACAAAGGCGGATTGGCGGCGGGGGGTTAGGATTTCGTGTCGTGAGGCTTCAGGCTGTCCTAGGCTTGAACTCCAGAAGCCTCCCAGCCGAGAGCCCCCCACACAACACATCACCACCTCTTCATCCTTACCCTTCAACCCCAGATCCCAGTTCTACTCTGCACCTCCCTGAGACGAAAAGCCCAAGTCCCAACAACAAAAAATCTTGAGAGCTTTGGCTGCACTTTGCACCCACAAGAAGCGGCACCCTTCCATCCTGAACACGAGGCCCTACTCCGAAACCCCAGACCCGAAACACAAAATCCTGAACACGAAACCCTGAACCCTAAGAACCCGTTTGAGGCTGGCAGCTTTCGGGGGAAGGTCGTGGCACAGCCGACGGAGCGATAAAGAAGTCTGCGTAAATCAGCGGTAAGGGTGCCTCGGCTCTGACTTCAGGCTTTGGAGCTCTGGAGCTTCGGGTTTCGGGTGTCAAAACTCAGATTTTAAAGTTAAGGTTACGGGTTTAAGGGTGTACGGTTCAAGGTTTGGGGGGCGCTCTAACCCCAAAAACCGAACTTGACTGTTCAGGATCTGGGGAGTTGCAAACCTGTAGACTGTAGGGCTTAAAATCCTGGATCCAGGGTGTATAGTTGAGGGTCGAGGTCGAGGGCTTCGGGTGAGCTCTCTGCCCACACACAGACTAGGCGTTAGGGCTGCAGGTGGTTGTGCCAGTTTCGTTGGGACAACCATGTGCACCTTCAAGAGAAGCCCGGTGCCATAGCAACCCTAAACTCCAGACCCGCAATGTGACGAACTCAGCGAAGCCGCGCGCGGTAAGCGCAGGTAACAGCGCGAAGGTTCTTGAGCCAAAGGGCCGGTGTGAAAGAGCGCAAAGGGGGAGCTGGCTGAATGCTACCGTAGAAGTGAAAGGGTCTGATGTTCGGGCTTTAGGGTTTACGATCTGTGGCTCGGGCATGAACGAGAGTGCGCTAGAGGTTTAGGACCTTGGGGTTTGGAGTTTAGATCGGATGTTTTGGAAATTCCACCCATCGTAGAAGTCAGCTGCATCACATCACATGCACTTGAGATGCCAAGCAAGCTAGTGTGCCCTTCATGCTTGTGGCAACCTTCCGTCAATCCTACGATTGTGACGCCAACGGTTCTCGATGTGCCTAAGTTCAGCCATCCTTTGAATTTTCTGTGAACGCACGATTTCGCTACCACTTAACCCTGCACTCTCACCTCAACTGTCGGAAACTAGTAACTCAACTTCTTCAAACCCAATAAACAGAGCAACAGAGCCTTGGCTCACAACGGGCTTCTTGAGTGCAGGGTGAGGCTCTGTGTCCTACCGAGCTCCGGTGTACGAGGGTTTTGGGCAGCACCACTAAACCCCAAGCTCTCAAACGCTCCGGAAATCTGAAGTGCCCACACTCAGAAAAGGGCCCTGGGATCGCAAGCTTGAAATGGTCCCCTTACAAAAAAAAAGGGGACGAAAGTCTGCAAAACCAAGTGGGGCCCTTGATCGCAGCCACAGCAACTACCGACCTTCCCCGCCAATGCGCGCTTCCTGGATGCAGTTCCCTTAGGGTTTGGAGTTTCATGTTCGAGTTTAGGGTAGAAGTTTCGCACAGAGGCCTGGCACAGCGGAGGACTCAAAGTCTCAACTGCTTCAAGCACGTGCCAAAAGCCCTGAGAATCGACCCGTCAAGTGCGGAAACACCGGGTTCAAGCCCAGTCCCCATAAAGCGAAGCCCGACATCCATCAGTTTAGGGTTTAGGGTTTAGGGCTTAGGGGTTTCGGGGTTTAGGGAATGCATCAATCCACCTCTTCATCTTGCCGCCATCCCAAGTGGAAAGGGTCACGACGGCTTGATCCGACCGTGCTGCCAATGTCCAAACAAAATTTCAGGGCTCCAAGGCTTAAAGCTTCAAGGCATTGGGGACTGAAGGGAGATGTTTGAGCCTCAGAGTCAGGCGTTAGCTGTCGAGCCGTGTCTGTGCATCCAGGGGTTCAGTGCATCTACAGAATGCTCTGAGAAGGGTCAGGCAAAGATTGCGATTCCTTGCAAGGCAAATGCTTCCATGCCATACTTCACTATGGTTTCGCGTACTGAAGAGCTACACCAAAAACACTTCTCCTGATCTTGCAACATGTTGGGAAGGCAAGCTCAAGCTCATCACATGACCCATGACCCATGAAACAGACCTGGATGGTCCTTGCCCTTCTGCCATCTCTCATGCAGGGCGGGTTAAAATCACTATGAAACCTGACCTCATGGAAACGAGAACACGGACGGGAGGATGCCTTTCTGTTGCCTGTGAATCTCGCCGCTCATGGGCCAGATGGTGAAACTCTATGGGCTTATGTTTTGGGTTTGGAGTTTGGAGCTTTGGAGTGTTGTTGGGCCTGTGCTTCGCGTTCCGGGTTCAAACCCAACACAATGAGCTTGCACGCAGAACTCTCTGCCATCACTAAACCAGGCAATGTCTACAGGTTTAGGATCTAGGAGTCCAGGGTGTAGGAGTTCAGAACCCTCAGGGCCTCTTAACGTGACACATAACATGCAACTCGGCATGTACATAATCGTACAAGAAGCATCATTCAAACATTGCAATCTGGACGTGGCGGAACTAGAGGGCCAATGCCAGCAAAGGCAGCAAAGCTGCGAAGCCCAGTATGAGCCTTTCTGCCCCATTGGTTAATGCAGCGCTGCAGGGAACTGCAGAGGACGGAACAAGTGAGAACCTGAGCGCAGGGTCTACGGCGAGTCTATGGGGTTCGGAGTCCAGGTTCAGCGTGATCAGGGCGTTGAAGCCAAAGCAAGCTGTTGTACAAACCACCCCAAGCAGCCAAGAGGATATCCTGACGCCAAGGCACTTGAAGGACATTGTGTTGCCGTAGTCGATGCACTCACCAGCGTTGATGTGCCCGATATTGGTAGTATCGCTCAAAAAGCCGACAATTTCCTGGCTTGGTGTTCCAGAGCAATCCTGACCAGCTGGATAATCTTTTCGGTTCACGAAAGAGCCTTGGCAGTACCAGCCATGAGTCTGCGATTCGTGCTGGCAGCACAAAGTATCTCCCGACACTTCGCATTCGAACTCACGCTCACCTGGGGGCAGAATTTGGGGGTGAACACGCCTTCACAACATAATGAACGAGTAGGGTCCAACATCATTTGTGCGATGACAGCTCTAAGGGACCTTGGTTCGGCAGTATCCCACCTGAGACACATCCACTTCCAAAATACTGTGCGTAGCTGATGTTGTCAGCCGCCGCGTTTCGGAGAAAGGCCGCCAGTATCCACCACAACCGCATGAGTTTACAAATTCACACGCAGTGCCCTAACCCTCGTGAACTTGATACAATAGCAAAGTTTTCTACATCTCGCTGGAGCTTGAGAGCCAACACAACATTGCATCGAGAACAACAAGAAGTAGCGAGCTGTGGTATGTTCGGCTGCCAGATTGCTGTGACAGGTCGGGCGAAAACATCCCTCGGACATACTGATCGCCTTTTAACTTAAAGCTACAAGAGTAGATTGCCATAGCTACACGGCATCACCCGTCTTCAAAGTGCTCTTTACAGAAAGATGTATTGGCGAGGTTCACAAAACACAAACCATCATGACACTACATCCCTGTAAAACTTAAGATGTGCCGAATCTGAGACGTTGAGCAACACGATAGTATCGTGTCCAAAATAGCCACAATTTGCAAATGTCTAGCATCTGCTGGAAAACTGTTGATATCAATCCCACGAACGTCTTGTGTGATCCTACGCAGGTTTTCTCTGGTTGAATCGGAACGCATCCGAAATATCACACGGAAACACTATACAAAAATCGAACATACGAATGCACAACCATACATACACAAATGCTGAATACTCAAATTCACCAGGTGTCTATGCCTCTCCAAACCCTGCAAAATCGCCATTGATGCCTCTCTTTCCCCCGGTGTGGCAGGGCGGGTCGCAAGAGATTTGAGATGTCACTTCGTTAAGGAACAAATCAAACGTCATGCAGTGCAGGTTGAAGCAACTTCCTCAGAGTGTTCCAACAGCGTTCCATGAAATCAAGCGTGCGGCAAAGTGAAAGTTCAAGCAAGTTGAAAATTGCACCAAGCGTTCTGAGATCTCATCGCCCCACCCACCCTGCCCTCGAGTCTTACGAACCACACATTTGGTTGGACCCAAGCTGCGTGTTCTCACGCCTGAAGATACTTTGAGCCTTAAGGGTCAGGGTCAAAGGTTAGGAATAGGTTTGAAAACGACCGGATCACAAGTCATCACAATCTCATGGCATGACGGCCGCTGATGCCTCTTTTTCTCTTCCCTGTCTTGGCCGGCATGCTTCTTTCCACCGCTGCGGGAGAGTACCCCATTGCGTTCGGTCCTCGATGGTGTCTTACCATCGGCCGCTAGGAGCAGCGCCTATGCTACTCGAAGCAGAGCCTAAGCTAAGCTAAAAAGCGACAGCACGCAAGCTGCCACTGGCTCGCAGGCCCTAGCTGGCAAGATCAGCTATGTCACGGACATCTAAGAGCAAAATCATATAAACATTGGACCAAAGCATAGCAACACTCTGAATAGAAGCACGACAAGAACGTTTTTTATCATCCGTGGCATGCCAGTTGCCTTCTAAGTCTACCTAATGTCCAGAAGCAGGGGTATCCCCGAAGTGAGCCACAACAGCAACCAGACGATAAGCAATACGAAGAATTTCACTACGACATTCACCGGCCGGGAGCTGCAAAGTAAGTTCAGGCATCGCAATAGGAAGAGACTGTTTAGTGATGCGACCCTCCCCAGCAACACTGAAACAACGCACCTGAAACATGATGCAACTCGGGATCTTACTAAGACCTCTCACCAGGTGGTCATGCTCTCACGCAGCAATAGCATCCTGCAGAATGCACTCCCATCGTAGGCTTGTGGAGCAGCATTGCGCATCAAGTACATTGCAAATTCCGGCTGCGAAGGGTTTGGCCAAGCTCGGACAAGCATGCGCCACGTGAACAAGTCCATGAGTGCAAAAGCGCTGGTGCCGCCTCGAAGCAACGGCTTGACCGAAGTCAAACGTCCCAAAGAGTTCAACCTGCGTGCCAACAGGGCGCATGGCTAGAGAGTTCATGATTCCGGTATTGCGAAGCTGCAGCCGGAGCACAAGCTCTTGAGGCACGATTCCAGCTGTTTCGCCAGCTGGGAGCGCTGAAGTGAAGCCGCTCGGAAGCGAATTCGGACGTTCACGACTCGCCAAAAGACCGAGGCATCAAGCCATTTGGAAAGTCGGCTTTAGGACCCAGACTGGCTGCGCATCGCACCATTCCAAAACCCCATCGTCTCGGGCGAGGACGCCGGCACTTGGGCAGACACCGGCGCGTGGAGCACGGACCCAAGCACAAGAGCATGGGTCAGTGATGCAGTGTATGTTCACTGCGATGCCGAACCGGAGCCTGAATTCTAGCTGGAAAGCTCCTCTGAGAAATCCGACTCCCCGGAGTCTGGAGTCTCGGAGGAGGACATCCGCATCATTTCTGAGCGGGTGATCCCAGCTCATGAAGCAAGAGAAACTGAGCGAGGCTCTGAAGGAAGAGGATGCTGGGCCCCACATCCTGACAATCTTTAGGCCGAATCGTCGCAAGCCGTCAAAACCATTTCACTTCGTGTCGGAGGAGATTTGGTTCTTCTACAGTCCCCAATCCGGGCAACGGCAGGACGATCGTTTGATCCGCATGAAGCCGTTCGGGCAGAACACACCAGCAGCGGCGTGGAATGCGTGCTGAAGATAGGGGAGCATGGTCGTGAGCCGACCCTCTCCGGAAGGTTCAGCAACGTACGCGCTGCTTTTATCTGTGAGGGCCCTGTGCGGGTCCGCTGGGCAAACCCGGATGAAAGCTTGTATGGTGAGGAGACAACCATGCAGTGTCTCATCCAGCAAAAAGTTGAAATCCCGGAAACCTGGTTGGAACCGGTGGGCGCTGGCAGCAGCACGGCCTTTCAAGTCTTCGTCGATGTGGCAGTGATCTACTTGTATCTCTCAGTTGCAGGGGTCATCCTGCGCGATACAGGATCGACAAACATAGGTGTTGAACACCTGGACCAGGCATGGCCAAAATGCCTCCTTATCGATTTCGGGAGCTGGGAACATGGCCGCTCCCAGCCAAACCGGGACCCATTGGCTGGCTTTTACCAATTCTTGCAACGTATCCATGCACGCACATGCACGCACCAACCTCCATGTGAACGGAGACCTTCTGGCGAGAAGCTTGCGTCACTCCAACCATGAAGTTGGGTTCCGCCTCAAACACCAGTGACGCTGCAAGTAAGCCAAGGAACGGTCAGCAGCGTAAAGCACGACAAGACGTCTTAATAGACAAACTGGCAAGCAAGCTGGCGGTGAACACCAGGTTCGAGCGAGTACAACCACAACAGTTCATCCGTCATCTGGCTGAACGGCCTTCCCGTTACGGAGGCTTTGGTTTTCTTCGCCTCTCGAAGACAAGAAGTTAATCTCTCACGTGGCAAGGTACTTCATGAAGCTCCAGACTTCTCTGCTACTACTTTGAGAGAACGAACCGACGAGAAGTGACAATGATGTCAACACCAAGGAATTTGATCGGCTGCTTTGGGGGCCACAAACTGTTGCAGCCCACTTTTCTTGCAGAGCCTTTGCCAAGATTTGGAGAACACCAAGCGACCCACAGTCATCAACGTACACAAACAATGCACTCTCAACACGACCACCGTCAACTCTGACGACTTTCCACCAGTTAGGGTCTGATTCGAAGGTTCAAGCCGGTTAGTCACGTCAAAGGTCCTACACCAACACTGTCCCAGTAATCGATACTGTCTCCACATGCGAATCAAATGCACTGGTGATATCCAACACTCGAATAAGTCCACTCGAGTAATCACAGTTCTCAAGCTTGCACCCAAGTCCGTCTTGGCACATTTCCACAAGCAACATGTCTTGCTTTCCCGACAGCACAAGTTGGCCTTGCAACGAAGCCTTCGAAATGCCCAAAAGGGCTTTTGCGCTGACGTGGTGCTTTCCAGTGTCACTAACAGCTCGAAAAGTGAGCTTAAGTTGCTTAGAAGGTGTTCTATGTTCTTAGTATACGTCGATTCGGCTTTGTACAAGCAGGAGAGGATTGTACCTTCGCTACGAAACTCAGCCTTTGGTCCACTTTTCTGCGCAGAAAAGCCACGCCAAGTCTTAGATGTAACAAAAGCCGCTCCGCAAAGTTGAGATAATGCACTTGTGGTGTTTGTTCCAGAGCACACTTGGCAGATTGGGATTTTCTCCTTCCAGACTCGGTCTATCTCCAGACTCCACGTTTGTTTTAAATTAAGAAAGAGGACAAGATTTCCAGTTGCAGATGGATTTTGTGGACTTGTAACTGGTCGTGTTGGTGTCGGCCAGTTCTTTCTGCACGCAGCCCCTCTCAAGAGAAGGCCGCACTAGCAGAAGCAAAGCCTTACTTGAAGATTGATGAGATTTAGCGACTGTATCTTGGGACCATGTGTGTTCCGCAGGAGCCCATGAGAAATCCAAGCCTGTAGGCACAGATGCGGGCCGCCAAACAAGGCAACATCAGAGTCGTTACGAGCTCCGAAAAGCTGGAATCATACTTGGCGTGCGGATGGATGGGAACCTTCAAATTCTTCGAAGAGCTTTTCTCGTTTCATTCACTCCAGAAAAAAACAGCTTGTCAACGAAGCGCAGTAAAGCAGAGAATTCGCTTGGTTTTGGCGCTTTTTGCTGCTCTAGTGTTTGGACACAGACTCAACAGGCAGACAGGGCAGGCAGGTACAGGGTAGGCAGGCAGGCAGGTGGGTGGGTGGGTGGACGAGCAGGAGGTAGGAAGGTGTAGGTAAACAAAAAGTAGGTAGGTAGGCAAGTAGGTTGGTAGGTCGGGTCGGTAGGTAGGTAAGTAGGAAGGGAAGCAGGGAGGGAGGTAGGTAGGTAGGTAGGTAGGTTACTAGGCAAGTAGGAGGTAGGTCGGTGGGTGAGTGGGTGGGTGGGTAGGTAAGTAGGTAGGTAGGTAGGAAGTAGGTTGGTAGGTCGGGTAAGTAGGTAGGTAGGTAGGTAGGTAGGTAGGTAGTTGGTTGGTAGGTAGGTAGGTAAGTAGGTAGGTAGGTAAGTAGGTAGGTAGGTAGGTAGGTAGGTATAGGTAAGTAGGTAGGTAGGTAGGTAGGTAGGTAGGTAGGTAGGTAGGTCGGTGGGTAGGTAGGTAGGTAGGTAGGTAGGTAGGTAGGTAGGTGAGTAGGTCGGTAGGAAGGTAGCTCGAACAGCCTTTGAGCAAGCACGCTCT